AAAAAAAAAAATACTTAAACCGCCGTCTGTGGGAATCGAACCCACGACCACATGGTTAAAAGCCATGCGCTCTACCGGCTGAGCTAAGACGGCGTGACGTTTTGCTTCTCAAATTTTATCTTTTGTTTATTTATATAATCACGAAAGCATGAGTACCTTCAAATCTCGATCAGTCAGTGACCGCAGAGTGCAGAGGCAGAAGGAACTGCAGCTTCTCCAGCAATGCCCGAAATCTCAGAAGTTCCACAGGTCGATTCCTCCAAAATATCGGACAATGCTAGTAAAGCACCACCTCAACCCGAGTTCGACCCGAAAATTATGCGCAAAACCAAACCCGGATTGAAGCGCCTATTCCTTACCCACTCCGTCCTCTTCTCCTTCCTCCTAGGTCCGCCTCTAAATCTCAGACACAGCTATACAAACTCCCTTTTTATATAGTTAAATTAAATAAACAAATTTTCTTCTTTCTTCTTTTTCTTATTGTTTCTTTTAAAAATTGAATTTCAGGTTTCCCGTTCTATGGAATCCGTTGAAATCTACGTTCTCCGCTACCGTGTTCGCGAAATCGACTCGCTCTCGACTCACCTCCGATCCAATACTTTACTCTTTCCGCTCCATTTTCACGCCATTTTCATCGGGTTCGATTCCGACGCCGATCGCCTCCGTCACTCAATCCTCTCCGAAATTACCAAACTAACCTCTCAAAACCTTAAATGCTTCAACAACTATTCTCTCTCCGTCACTGTCGACTCCGGCTCCCATTGCCTCCGTGCCCCTATCACGTCGCCTCATTCGTGTCCATACCAGTGCGGATCGATCACAGCCATTGATTTTGATCCGGTCGATGACGTGGTGGTCGATGAGAGGCTGGGGTCAGTTTTTGGCCGGAGAATTAAGGAGTACAGCGTGGTGGTGGTGAAGGGTGAGAATGAGAGAGCGTTGTCGGCAAGTATAGGCACGCGTGGATGGTTGTTGGCGGTGGCAGGGAGGTGGAGATGGCGGCGATGAAGTGCAGAGGTGTTGGTGAAGGTGTTTGTGAATGGAGGGAGGGAGGAAGGGTCAATCCGGACTGAGTTTATGCCGGTAGGAGCAGATGGGAAGATTGTTCTTTCCTTCAATTTGCTTATGCGGATCCGCGTGATTGGGTTTATGATTGGTATGAGCTTTCGCTGTTAACTTTTGCTTGTTTTGTTTTGAATTTGATAGATTTTAAATTTTTGATGATTTTGTTTTCATTCTGTTAGTTTGCATTGAAAATCTTTAGTTGATTAAGTGTTTGATAGAATGATGCTAAACTGAACATGTTAAAATCGTCATGTGAAGTTGCCTTTGCATTTTGCTCATCTTACATTTCCTTGTATCTGTTGCAGGGATTTTCAAAAGATTGATGAGACATTGTTGGCTCCTATGATTGGGGCTCTGGGCCCTGTGGCAAGCATTAGCGTAGAGAGTCAGGTCAAGGGCCATCCTCTTTTTTCTTTTGATTCATATCTCTCATATTCTGTTCTTTTCATCTGATTGGTATTTCATTGTTCTCATGTCTAGGTTCTGTACCATACACCAAAGGCCTCATTCTCTTATTGGAATCAAAAGTTGGAGAGCCATGTCTTTAGTACCAAAGATCTTCCTTTCTTTGTATGTTTCTTTAAATTTTTGACTTCTTATGTTTCTGTGGATTGGAATGTGTTGGTGCAGTTCTCTAAACTGCTTGCGTTTGTTTCAGCCGCAAGAAATGTCTGATATTTTTTCTAGTGGTCATCTAGTCATGAGTTATTGTACCTCTTATTTGGAAAACAAGGGAACTTGCTATTAATGTTATCTCATAGTTTTAACAGGTAAATTCTAATGAATGGCACTTGGATACTTCAATTGCAGCTGGCGGGCGATCAAAGATATTGCACTTTGTGGTGTATATTCATTGACTCTTTTCTTTTTATATATCTTAACTGTAATGACTGCATTTAGTGAGGTATAGGGTGTATCATTTTAATTACCTTATAAACATCCTAATCAATGTAGTTTTGGTTTAATGTCCTCTTTTGGAGAAAATGTTGATATAGGATGGAGGCCAACTTTGATCTCCATGCCTTGTTAATCAACTCTATTTTGCACTCATATTTCTTTTTCGTTTGTACAACTGTTTCAATTTTTTCAAGCAGAACTCTTTTTCCCCACAAAGCTCACCTTTCAATTTTCTCTCTGTTGTCAGATGTTGTACATCTGCAAAGGAATGCCCTCTTCTTCTCCAGTTGCCAAATGGAGAAATTTCTCAGACAAATGGCTTTATATCTCCAGTTAGTTATCAAGCCTTTATTATCTTCATTCCTTTTACCAGTTTATTTCTCTTCTGAAACTTCATTACCTTATTAAATGTTTTTCTCATGAAACCTTTTAGATGTGGGGAGGTGTTATGGTTTGGAACCCCCAAAGCTGTTTAAAGAATTCAGAAAACAAAACCACAGCCAGGCATGCAATTCCCCTGCAGGTTAGGCGATATGTAACAAATTCAACAAAAAATTGGAGTCACCCCCTCCATTCTCCTCTCTCTCTCTCTCTCTTACATGCACGTATGCTTGCATTCACATGCAGATGCTATAAATTTCCAGAATTCGATTATTGTACTTTGAGACTGAAGTTTAGAAATCAGTTTCAAACCATTTATTTTGTGGATTTTTTATTGTCATCCTGCTTGCACTATGGAAATGAAGAGAATAATTGAATGAGTAGAAGTACATATTATATTTTGCAGGTAGCTTCAATTTAATTTTCCCAAGATTGATGCATGAATGTTCTTAAACAGGATCTTGAGAACATGTTTGAAGTATTCATTGGGCAGTTTCGACAACTTTTTGGTTTCCAGTCTGTCAATGTTTATGCTGGTGGATCAGGCATTTGGAGCCTTCTACCTAGTGCAAGAGGTTTTACTGAGTGGTAAGATAAAATCCTGCGGCACTAGCAAGCTATGTCTGATAGTTGAATTTCTAGTGCCAGACAAGTAATATGACTTTAATAGTAGTATTTATCTGACAGAACTGAACTCAGTTTCATAGTGGTTTGATGAGCATGTTTTCTCTGTTTGGTTGCTTAAATTCCTTTAGAATTTTTTAAAATGTAAATATATTTTGTTCTCAGTTAGTTGCTCTTGCTATCTTTGGTTAAAGTATTTCTTCCAATTCTTGTCCAGGGAATTGGATGTCTTGTCACGGCAGCACACTTGCTTTAATCTTCATTCATGTGCTACAACGCTTGCATCTCTTTCAAGATTGGTATGTGTGGGTATTAGAAAAAGAACCATCTGATTCAGGTCAAGATTTTGTTATTAATGACAAACTTTGATACAGGTTCAATCACTGCCAAGGATGATTATTATGGATGAGATAGGAAAACAGGTGAGTTATCAAGTTGTAGTGTAAGTTTATTTATAGGAGTACTTGCATCTGTAAGCATCCATATGAATATAATTATTGAACTAGCAGTTTATAATTTTACTGTGGTCTCTTTGAGTAGGTAAAGTATTCTCTTGAGGCGGCAAAGCTGGCACAAAGTAATGCTTCTATTGGAGGATATGAAACTTCAACTAGTATGTTCCTAAACTTGTCGATTAGTGTTCAATTGTGTCTTAAAATAAGTATTTGCTATTCCAGCCTCTTATCAGCTAGAATACCTAACAAAATATTTACACTTTGTTGTCAGCTTCCTCAAGGCAAGCAAGGTCTCTGGCAGAGGATGCCTTTTTCCACCCATCTATTATGTCTGTCAGCTACTATTCTTTCGAGCACTGTTTTGCTGTCTACTCGGTTAGTTAAATGAAACTTACATGTCTCTTGATAACAATTAATCAGAAACTGAGATTTTCTTCTGAAAACATGCTTTATTGCTTTGTATCATGAGACTTTATATGAGTGCTATTGGAATTAAGTGGTCTCTGATAGTTAAATCCTCAATTGAAGGGTATGTGGAAAGGAAAATATGCAGTATTTATCAGCTATGGAAGGGAAGGGGGAATTATCTTCTAAATGATTTGGTTTATGTAAATCTAAAGCAGGAAATTAGATACAAAATCCATTATATTATTTTTCATATTCTTTACAATATATAGCATTCGGCATTTTTTTTCTTCTTAGTTATCTTTCTTGTAATCTCTGGGTGCTGAGCTAGTATTTCTGTTTATGAAAACAAATTACTAACAAGGTTATTATTAGTGGCATTGGTTTAGTTGGATTATTAATCTCAATGGCGTTTCTTTTTGCGCAGCCATTCTTTCTGCCAGTTTCGATGCATGTCGTGCTTGCAGCTTTAAGAGAATTGAAAAGATATAAGCAAGAAAAGGTAAAGTATCTAGCTTGGAAGGCTAAAGCAAACGCAGCATCTTGATAGTCTCCCAAGAGAAAGATTTGGCATCAAGCAAAGGCCCCAACAGTTGGAAAGGATCAGGAAGATAAGAGGAAACTGACACTTTGGCCACATGAGAAACACAATTTTTGATTCACGTTATACATTGCTTGTATCTGTAGCAATCACCTCATGTCATATACCATGGAAAATTTATGGACAATTGACAATGCTGAATTTGAGGGTATTTGGACAAGTAAAATTTTCTTGTAGCCGATTTGTTCAAAATTCTTTTGAAGATAAAAGCTCAAAGGAAAAGAAAACCACATTCCCTTGAAGATGAAAATAGACTCTGTGGCATAGAATAAACCAGAATTTGGCATATAAGTTTGCCGAAGAGACTTGTGCAACTAGCACAAGTTACAACTTTTACCTTCCTATCTAGTTCCCTTGCGTCAGTGTTGCTGCCTGCCCCTGGATGGAAAGGAGGGCTATGCATTATGTATAACACTTTTTTTTTTTTTGTCAAAATCTCTCTTTACAGTTTACACTTCATTCGGATTTCAGAAATCATCCAAAAATAAAATTAAATCAATGCAGCATATACATTAGTTTAACGTATCTAACCGAAGCCCATAAGGGGCACGAAAAGCAAGGCTCCTGCCTACTTGCAATCTAAGGATACTCCATACTTCCATTTCAATACAAGCTCCTCATGAATCCACATTTTTGTCAATAAAGCTGAACAAAAAGTAAAATAAACAAGTACCCAAAGAATTGCTACAAGCAGGGTCTCATCAGCCTAAACACAGCCCTGCTACCTTGTAGGGATGTCAGCCAATAATACATCTTGAGATCCTACTGGCAACAACCACTTGCTAAAACTCCAAACGTCAGCCTCTGGGTTCCAATGCCAGAAGTATCTTCTTTCTTGGGCCCTGGAAGTAAACCAAAAATCTTGATTAAACAAGGGGCAGGAAAGAGAACACGTAGGAAATTAAGAAAATGCATTACTTGATATATGCATGTAACAGACAAAGAGAAAGATAAACAGCAACAGTTGCTTGGCGAAGGAAATGCTGAAGCCACAAGCGAAAGTCACATTATGTTAAACTTAAGAGATAGTAAAGTGATATATTTTCAAATCAACTTGACACAGATTAAGGATTTTCTACGACAACATTCATTACCTATTATCTGTACATCCCAGAAATTCCAATTTCTTGAAGAGACAAGCATTTAAATGCAATTAAACTATTAATTCCAATAATTCACTCAAATGATTATATGCAAGGAAAAGAAAAGAAAACAATAAGAAAGAGGACATTTTCATAAAGTTAAGAAGGTATGCTTTTAAAAAAGAGAAACATTTGAAGCATCTCAAATTGGAAAACTGGACAAAACTATGAGGTGAAGTAACAGAAGTTCTTGGTTGCGAACAACAATAATAGGATATATCCCTACTTCAAATCCTTCAATGCACAAGACAAGCACCAAATACAGCTTAAAGCAAATTCATGAATATAAATCTGTGCATGCATGTATCGAGGTTCAGTTTGAAATTACCATTGGTATTCCTAAAGCTTTTAGATCCTCATCAGTCATGTGTACAAGAGCAGTCATATCAACCTGCAGAAAGAGGTTTATGTCTTATAGTGGAAGCAGAAATTCCTTTATTTTAAGTAATGATTTAAAACAACAAAAGGGGAAATTTACAATCTGTAGAAGAAAGTATAAAACTACATACTTCCTCTGCTTGAAAAAGAATTGTGTATTTTTCAATACCCAAAGACTGGAGGAAGCCCTCTACTGATGTATCAGCCTGCATAAGAAACCACAAGGCTTAGACACACACACACACACACACCAAAAAAAAAAAAAACATATTGGCAAGGACATGACTTCAACTTATGATAGGGGAATGGCTCTTAGATTGCAGCTGAAAAAGCTAACATATCCAGAGATAAGCAAGTGCAAACTCAGGGGCACATTTACAATTCCATTAAAGTTAGCACAACAAGCCTTATATTATTTTCTTTTTCTATACTCTACAAAATCCATAAGTTAACCATTTGCAAACAAACCAGCTATATCTTAACCTAAAGTGTTATAACACTATCCATTGCCCCCCTACTGGACTTTCAAACTGCCAACACTATGCACATTCAAGTTATAGTTTAGGACGGGCCATAATTCAGAGTTGAGAGTTAAAACTTTACTCATTCACTTTATCATGCATTACAAACAAATGTAAACAAACCTAGTGATATGCATGCCATGCATGACAGGTTTTTGAATATAACCTCCATAATCCCCACCAATAAAAATAAATAAATAAACACCCACATCCACACACCTCTGACAGGAGAAAAACAGTGAAGTTATTTTTCATGCTTGTCCGATAAACAAAAATTTGGGAAGAGGGAGAAAATTGTGGGGAAAGGAGAGGGGTGGAGAGGGAGGGAGGGTGCTGGTTGAGATAATAATAACCAAGAAGAGCAGTAGTTCTATGCCTTTTGCTGAGCCTTCTTCCTTGCTGCCATATTTGCAGCCCTTTTCGGTTCTGGTTCAGAAGTTTCAACTGCTACACTTTTCCTGGCTGGTTTGGCAGATTCCACTTTTGGTTTTGGTGGATCAACATTTAGAGGCTGTGCATTCATTGTTCCAGATAACTTTTCACGAAGATCAAGCACACCTGAGAAAGCTCCCCTTCCACTTTGAGACACCTGTTGGAAACTTTTCCTTTGGAGCTTCAAACGAAGATCACGGGCATTGACTTTGCGATCTTCACAAGCCATTAACACACAGTCAAAACAAATAGACATTATTTAGTTGCATCCAACTATAGCAGCAATATTTTAGTTGCATGTGATTGTGTAAGGCAATCCATACTTGAAACTTGAGGTAAGTCATCTTGGTAAAGATCATGTTCCCACTTGTCATCTTGCCTCTGCCTGGAAAAGATTTGGCATGAAAGATGTTCATGGATTAGGGGCATTAAGGCAAAAAGTGTAAATAAACCAAATCTCATATTTTCTTTTTTTTTTTTTGGGGGGGGGGTGGGTGGGTGTGGAGGATGGAATGAGGGGAAACCAAACTCAACTTATGGCAGCAGGTAACATAAGCTGAAAAATCTATCACAACTTGAAATATTGTATTTTACCAAAATCAACTACCCAAGCGGCAAAATACACCCTTACCAACTCAAACCACAAATTCCTAAGTTCGTAAGCAACAAACATACATCAAAACTATAGAAGGCCAGAAGAATGGACTAACGTAAAAGATAATAACCATGTCAATAAACTGCCTTGCTTTTTCTTCTGGGGAAAGAGAGGGAAGGGAGGGGGGGGAGAAGAGGGGGATTAGTAAAGTGACTATTAAGCACCAAATGGAATGAGGGGCGCCCTTACTTTTGAATCAAAAGCAATCAGATGACATTTGTTACACTAAATACAAACTTTGAAAGCTAAACTTTCAAAGTCTCCTTCCCAGTTAGCTACAATCTCCCCCTCCTAACCCTCCCTTCTTTCTACGCATCATACTTGATTTCACCGACTTAGGAACCATCAAGACAAATCTAACATCAGAATTTAGGGAATCTAAATAAAAACTTTTAGAGAGAACACCATACTCTGCTATTTAAATGATCTTTTAAGTCCAATGCACTCGTCCATTCGCTCTCAAAAGCTTGACAGCAAATTAAACTCAAATATTAAAGGCAAAGCCAGCGGCAAAATTGAGTCATTATTCCGAAAATATCAACAAAATGGTAAACATAAATTACCGTATCACAGCGAAGTGAATAAGTGAAAATAAAAGATTCCTATTAAGGCAACCGTCGAAACAAACGGAAAATAAAGAGAAAAAACGAACCTCTTGCCAGTGATTTGATGCCGGCGAATAGAGTTGTCGGCGGAGTTGCCATTGAGTCGCTCCTTTACCGACCTTTTGCCAACAGCCTCCACTCGATCAGCATACATCTTTATCCACAAAGCAAAAAACCTAACCCTAATCTTATAAATCCCGAGAGAAAGAGCCTGAGACGAAGAAAGATTGGCTTTCTAGAGGATTTTAAAATTAAAATTCTAGCCAATGTGACGAGAAGAAAAAACGAAGAAAATAAAATAAAATAACCCTAGCCCTTATATATAAATAAATGCATAAAAGAATATATTAATGGAGAATTTGAAGAATTTTGTAGTGAATATTTCTTTTTTAAAGCGTGTTCTCACTTGCTGCAGTTTGTAGATGGGCCAAAGCTATTTGGATTCTTTTCTTTTTTTTGGGCTTTTCGGCTTTCGAATTTCCCAATTCGGTAAGTGATATGAAACAAAGGGACTACTGGGCTTTGTCAACGGAAAAAGAGGCCCAAATTCCTTAAGTTGGATTTGTTAAGGTTATTGTTGAAACCAAGTTGGCGGTGATTACTTCACTGGTCAAATGATTAAGACAGTGTTTGGAAAAAGTTTTTAAAATTATTTTAAAACTTTTAAATAAATTTTTATTTTTTTATTATTCAATCAAAATTTTATATTTTTATGTCGAGTTAAATAAATTTTTATTTATCATTAATCAAAATATCACTAGTTATTTTATTTTTAAATCGCACTAACTTAATGCTAATGTGGCTTTGACATCAAGGGCAAAAATGTTATGTGATCTTATTATTATCCATATCATTTATTATGATATGTTAGCATATCACGTTAACATATACGATATAAAATGATAAATGATCTTTTTGACTAATAACATTTAATCAACTATTAGTCATATGAGTTTATTTAATTCAAAATAAAAATACAATATCTTCAATAAAAACTTATTTAAATTTTCTTGTATAATTTAGAGATTTGTTTTAAATATTATACCAATGATTAATCGACCTTTTCTCTTAGGTTAAATTATGTAATAAGTCCTTATACCTTATCAAAAAGGTAGATTTAATTCTTGTACAATAATTTGTAAACATTAAATCTTTATATTTTCAAAATTGACAATGTCAATCCAATACATTAAAAAAATTTTATTATCTATGTTGATATGGTGTTTGGTTTGGTTGCATTGATGTAGTGTTTTCTTATTGATGTGATATTGAATTTGATCACCAAGTAATGATGTGGCATTTAATAAATAATGTAATAACAGTGTCGACATGACATGACCAAACACTAACATGGATCTTATAAGTATAAATATAAAATTATTCAATATGAGCTAATGGTTTTAAATAGAATTGAAAAATAAATAAATAAAAAATATGAATAGGTTTCTAAGAGTTAGGGAAAGAATGTTGTGAGACAAAAAAAAATTGAATTTTTGTGCTTTATAATTTAAAGTTGTGAAATAAATAAAAATGACACATCATCATCTTCAATGCCCCATTAGCAAGAAAATATATAACTCTGTAATTTTTCTTGTTTAAGTATTTCCAAAGCTTGCATATGGTTCTGAGTTGAAATATTTAGCATGCATTGAAAAAGATATAACTCTGTAATTATATAAGTTTGAGGCTTGAAGGTTTGAGGTTTAAATGTTACCGATTGTCATGAGTTTATGAATTTTGCTGTATGAGAACATTCTTTTTTTTTTTGGTTGACCAAAAATTAAATATATATTATGATTCTAATCCATCGATTGTCCATAGGAAGTGCTTCTAAGTTTTATTTATTGATAGTCCCAATTTGTATTTTATTTGCTGTTAAGTTTTTTTTTTCTTTTTTCTTTTTAATCATAGTATATATTTAATTTTGTTAAAATTGGGATTTATTTTTTCTAGGTATGCTTGCCCCTAAACTTATAATTGATTCGTATTGAATAGTTGAATATATTTTATAAGCTTTTCTTTATTATTTTTTGCTTATTGTTTTGCGTTCAGAATTGCATCTGGGGCTTTGATCCTTTTGAACAAATGCTTGGTACCTGAGGCTAAGATAGTAGGTGTTTTTCAAGTTATCCGTAAACATTTTTTCTCTTATTCAGTTAGTTTCTTTTAATATTTTTGATTCGCAGGATGTTCACCATTATGCTTCATTCGGAAGCGAAAAGTCTTGCAAAGGGCCTTCCGAACGTTAAAACCATTCATGAAGGTAATGAAGGGTTAAAATAAATTATGATGTTGTTAAAACAATTAACAAATTTACTTCACGATATCATTTTTTTAATATGATATATAATAACTTGTTACATGTTATTTACAAAATTTATTATACTTCACGTAAAAAAATTGTTCAATGGCAACCTTACTAATAGTAACTATTAAAGATAGAAAATGAAAATGCAAGGCACAGCTTACTATTTCTAGTTGGCAGTGAACAATGAGACGATGGAAAGGAAAAACGATTAGAGAAAAGAAGTGGATCGAAGAGGAGAAGAGGTAGAGTGTAGGTAATTTGGGTTAATGTTGAAAAAACTAAAATGGTGGGAAAATGAAATAGTAAGAAATTTTAACCGATGGAAGTAATCAAATAGAGAAACAGAGAATATTTTTGTCAATACATAATGGCTTCGTTTGTCAAAAATCCAATTCACCTGTCCACGTCATACTTATACGCATGACACCTCTCACCTTAACCCTTAATTGTTAAAAACTGAAAATGTTTAATTTTTAATTGTTACAATTAAAACATTTAACCCTAAATTCATAACAACCTAAAAATTTAGACCCCAAATTAAGTATTTAGTCAAAACAAAAAAAAAACTAAAACTTACAAGAGACTTTTATTTTTATATTGCTGAAGGAGAGTGTCGAAAGTTGCAAAAACATAAGTGTTATAAAACAATCAAAGGAAACAATATTTGTAGTACTAGTAAGTAGCCTCCTCAATTTTCCTTTGTAATATTATATATATATATATATATATATATATACCTCATATTTAAATCAAGCATATAAGAAGATTGTCAAAAGATTTCCCTCTTTTTCAGCTGGTATGTTTTTGCAACGGCTATAACTAAAAACTCTTAACTAGAAAACCAGGTAAATGCGGCCTCTTAAATGGCCAAAGCGTCTTAAGTCTCTCCTATTAGCCTGCAAAGACAGAAAACCCATACCTAAAATCCACGCCTTGATGATTTTAACCGGTCTTTACATCCATAAAACCTCCGTTGGCAATCTTATAGCGGCTTATTCACGAGATGGCGATATCCTCTCAGCTCGTAAAGTGTTTGATCAATTGTCTAATAGAGGCGTAGGTTCATGGAATGCAATGATCATTGCCTATTCCCGAAATAATTTTCCAAAACAAGTTCTGGGTTTTTATCATCGGATGATTCTAGAGGGTACTAGGCCTGACAGCTCCACTTTTACCGTGGCTCTTAAGGCTTGTGTTAGCTTAATGGACTTGGAAATGGGGGAGGAAATTTGGCGTAAAGCGGTGGATTTTGGATATGAGAATGATGTGTTTGTAGCGTCTTCGGTTTTGAATTTGTATGTGAAGTGTGGGAAAATGGATGAGGCGATGGTGGTGTTTAGTAAGATGCCAAGAAAAGATCTTGTTTGTTGGACTACTATTTTAACAGGGTTTGCACAGAGTGGACTGGCAAGAGAAGCGATTGATTTGTATAGGAATATGCAAATGGAAGGGATGGAAGGGGACGGTGTTGTGATGTTGGGGTTGATTCAGGCATGTGCAAATCTTGGGGACTCAAAGTTGGGACTTACGATTCATGGATATATGATTAGAAAAGGTTTTCCCATGGATGTTGTTGTTCAGACTAGCCTTGTTGATATGTATGCTAAGAATGGATATTTGGAATATGCTTCACGTGTCTTCAAGAAGATATCAACTAAGAATGTTATATCTTGGGGTGCATTGATTTCTGGCTTTGCTCAAAATGGTTTTGCTAGAAATGCACTTGAGTTGTTGGTAGAGATGCAGGGTTATGGATTTAAACCAGACTTGGTGTCCCTTGTGAGTACACTTTTGGCCTGTTCACAAGTTGGGTTGTTGAAATTGGGTAGATCCATACATGGATATATCACTAGAAGGGTTAATTTTGAACAAGTTTCTGGTACTGCAGTGATTGACATGTATGCAAAATGTGGAGCACTTTCTTATGCCCGTGCACTCTTTGATCAAATAGATTCTAGAGATAGAATATCTTGGAATGCAATGATTGCCAGCTATGGAGTACATGGGCATGGAAAGGAAGCTCTATCACTCTTCCTCCAGATGAGGAATGCAAACTTAAAACCAGATCACGCAACTTTTGCTGCACTTCTCTCAGCTCTCAGCCACTCAGGGCTGGTGAACGAAGGTCAATACTGGTTTAATCTCATGGTTAATGAATATAAGATCCAACCAACTGAGAAGCATTATGTATGCATGGTTGATCTATTAGCTCGTGCAGGACATCTAGAAGAAGCTTATAAACTAATAGATTCTATGAAAAATGAACCGGGTTTGGCTGTTTGGGTTGCTTTCCTATCTGGCTGCTGTAATCATGGGAAGTCATCAATTGGAGAGACGGCAGCAACAAAGGTTCTTGAGTTAAATCCAGATGACTTGGGAATATATGCATTGGTTTCAAACTTCTTTGCCATGGGAAACATGTGGGATGAAGCAGCTGCTGTAAGGAAGCTCATGAAAGAAACAGGAATGAAGAAAGTACCTGGCTACAGTGTAGTGGATGTGAACGGGAAGCTCCATGCTTTCCTTAAGGGAGATAAAAGCCACAATGAATATGAAGCTATAGCATCTGCCTTAGATAAATTGGACTATGAGATGAGGTTGCATGATCAAAATGCGGGTCTTGCTGTTGCTTTTGGCCAGTAAAACTTAGGGTTAGGATCCTGACTGCTGATTATGAGAAACCTTAGGGTGGGTGAGGATGACCATCAATTAACCAAGTTTTATCACCAAGACGGTGGAGGATTGTAGGAACTAAGAAGCAGGCTGTTCACTCCCAGCTGTAAAATCTGCCTATATACAGTATATGCCAGCTTCAGTGATGACCACCATGACACCATCAGTGATGCACTGCAGAATGCCAGCTTGTCTTGTCATAATTCTGCAATTCTCTTCTTCCATAGACAGTATATGTTCTGCATGCCATCCTCAGTTAATAGGAAGCATAGCCTAGCCTCTCCTTAGCCCACTGAAATTCACCTATCAAATCCCTAGCCGGTGATCTTCCAAGTCTGCACAACTTTAAAACTTGGTTCTATACTTGCCTTCTGAAATCACAAGTAAGAAAGTCCCTGGTCTCCACCACCTTATTACAGAAAACAGAATTGTTCAATTGAGATATCATGTGATACCCACATGAACTCATTAATGAAAAGTGTCAATATTTATAAATTATTTTGAAACAAAATGTCTATTTTCAAAACTAATAGATCTGAGTTGACTTAGAGTAATACCTTAAGAACTTGAATGTATTTTACCCTTGAACAAAGGGTCTGAGATTGGCGAAGCACTCTTTGAACTAACAATAAGGAGGACCCCTTGATAAGAAAACCTCAGCTAAACTGCCACTAAATGTGAACAAAATAATTATCTATCCCTTTTTATGACGGCTTTGTTATTGTCATATGCTTGATATTTGAAATGAATAATATTGAATGCTCGTTGTTTTTTCTTTTCTCATAAGGATGCCACTTAACTGCAATAAAATAATAATGGTGTTGGCTTCTTGTTAATTTCCCCTTTTTTCCTTATTATTTTCACCACAGCTCATCTTATGGTGAACCAAGGTTCTGCTGTTAAGATGTTTGTTGGCATGTTGTCTTCCGACAAGTCACTGCATGGTTTATGATGTAATGATGTTCATCTAATGTTAATGATCTTTGAGTAGGGGCAGAAAACACAAAAGGATGAACAAACTAATCAAATTCTAGATTCAGGAGAATTACAAAATTTTCAACAGTTCACAGACAAAGCTAGTTTCCCTCAGTGCACAGACCCAATTTACCTCCTTCACAAACTCCAACCAACATTCCCCAAACTCTACTTTCTTCAAGTCCTTGGAAAATTTCTCAAGTCTTGTATCCTAGAGCTTGATCTGAAGATTTTGGTTATCTTCTAACAAGCGATCATACTCAAGTAGCAAATCTGCAGCTTGTTTCTGAAGGGAAGCAACATGTGCTTCAGCAGTTTCAATCTTTTTGTCTTTCTCCTCAGATTCCAACTTCAGCTTCTTCAAATTCTCTGATAGAGTAGAAAGTTCTTCTTTCAGTAGCTTTATCTCCTTGGAAGCTTTGTCATCCTTCTCTTTAAGCTCAATTCTCTCTTTCTGAAGTCGTTCAACTTCCTCTTTCGCAGATCCCACATTACTCCTCAACGCAATAAGTTTTCTAAGATAATGGTGCATACGGTCAATTATGAACCCAAGAAATAGGGTAAAACCTACAAGATCAAGTTCAGACAGTCAAATATGCACGATACCAATAGAGGAGAGAACTATAGATAGAACAATCATTCACTCAAATATTATCAGCATGAAGCTAATTCGGTTACCAACCAATGGTTGTGCAATTTTCTTCACTTTCAGATCAGCAATAGCATAGAACCAAAATTTCACAGCTAGCCATGGAATAGATTCAACTTTAAAAGTCCTAGTAAAATCACTTACGCTGAAATACGTACCATGCAGTAATTTGGTGATGCATAATAACTGAGATGCTCAAATAGGATAATAGTAACAACCAGAAGCTATGAAGGGTGATCCATTAACACATCTTCGTATTTCCAAATACTGGACAAGTCAAAATGATGCACCTGCATCATTTGACCACTCAGCAGGGAGCTAAAGGCACCTCAAAACAATGTATGTGTTTAGATTGGTAGTCAGATGGACAGCCTTTTTACTGAAGTTCCATGAAATTGTACAGAGATTTGGAAGAACCAGATGCCAGACACCTCCAGCATATGGTCTCATTATTGCATTGGAGCTGTATACGATTCTATCCCACTCCAAGCCCTTAAATTGGCAGATATAATAGCGCTATTCTTGCCCTAAATTTTGCTTCCATATAAATTATAAAAGGCTATGGCTTCCAAAAAGTTACAATGTTGGTTTAGGGATAGAGATTTGGCCAGAGACTCACAGTTTAATGAAATACAATTCACCTTGTTGTTAACTTCAAACTGAATAACTTCTCAGTTGTATGCATAAGTAAAAATTAAACAAGAATATGATTGTTTACCATATGTAGTCTACAACTATTGCAGAGAAATGAGATGGAAAACACATGAACCATCAGTTTTCAGCAGTTGATGCCAAGATAGATTAAACATCATTAGTGTCCATGGCATATTTACGTTATTCAGTTTGATTACTTCCAATGTAAGCAAAGTCAGAAGCAACCTTGCCGTGGTAATAGAGGGCCACTTGCTAATCAATAAGATATGAAATTCCCATGCTGGCCTCATATAATATTAGATGTTCTTCTGATATTGAGAGAAAAGTCATCTCATTTTCAACAACAAAAATAAGTGAAAGTTGACCAAATTCTTTCAGACCCTCGCTATCAAGCAGCTTAAATTATGTGAATTGATGATAATAAAGCTTTCAAGTGTTTATTTTTCAAGCAAGGTCTTTATTACGAGACATCATAAACATTAATTTGGTGTCCATTATAGGGAAAGGATCCTCTCAACTGTTAAAAAGTAGTGGAGATGTCCACTTCTTTCACTATAGACTAACACATATACTACAAACAAATCTAGGATCATTTGCCCACATTATTTTCCCTTTTTTAATTAATTTTCTTTTATCTTCCTACTAAATTGAAGGTCATCAAAATTTCAGCCTCAATGCGTATTAATCACCCTAGGATGATGTAGTGGACATCTCCACTACTAAAAAGTAGTGCAGAGGACCCTTTTCCATCCACTGTAACTACAACCTTTGCATGGTTGATATGAATTAACAATCAGTTTAGAAAAAGCTCATGACATGAGAGCCTACTAGTTGCAAGAGCCTGTTACAATTCATAGTCAGAACAGTTTCTCCTGTCAGCTTCGGTATGAACATAAGCATATCTAAGTCAACTGCTTCTATATGCTGCACAAAGAAGAAAACAAGAATGCAGCAATGCGCTCTCTCTCTCTCTCTCTCTCTCTCTCCTATATCACATATATATATATATATATATATATATATCATGCTACTGTAGAATGTACTAACTGATAATGATGTTAGGTCTAAAAGTGCAGAATTTTGTTGACCCAATTTTCCACCAGAAAGCCAACAAATAATCACCCCATGAATAACAGAAAAGATATCTAGTACATAATTGTTGTTGCATAGTGGGCGCAAGGGCAGAAGTGAGAAAGAGAAGAAGGCCTTAGATAAGATTGAAATAGCCAAACATTTGCAAGAACAACCAACAAACTATAAGAATTAAAGAGGCCAAGGCAATGGCATGATGTAGCTACACCTAACCTCCAAAAGAAGGTCTGAAATTCAAATCCCATCTCCAACTAATGAATATAAAAAGTCCATTTCATTTGCTAAAATGCCCTAATCAGGCAAAGAGACCATCTATTAGCACAAATTTCAGAAAGCTATATACCTTAATACTTGAACACCATATGATATGATGCATCATGCATCAATATAAATACATTTTACCATCACTTAGTAATCATGTCGGCTAAAATCATGAGCATGACATGGTGCATTGGCATCCATGTAAAGCAGCTTAATGAAAATTTATATAAATGCATTATTGCATTAACATAGGCCTGGTGCCTAACTAAAGAAAATAGTTAAGGCTGCGATAAACTTATATAACCTCCCGACATTGAACCCCAGTTGAGAAATTTCCCAATTCCCATTATACTGTTGTGTTAACATCCCAACTCTTTTCGAAAAGCCGTTGACAAAAATCACATTAAAAGATTTGAAGCACTCCTAATTTCTCTAGGGAGAAACGACTTGATGGCAGGTCAATAGATAAATGGAAAATATGATCATTTATAGCATAAGTACTAGATTTCATGCAATGTTAATATATTCACATGGCTTTCCTCTGATACAGAATATTTTTCTCAGTGGACTAACAACTCAGACTATTCAACAACCATGTGAGGTTAGTCTCGCATATATGCTCTGTGAGTTTCTTCAGCTGAGAAGGTTGTTCTCTTAGTTTCTACATCTACATCTTCAGGGTTTTCTGAGTGCTTTCTAAAGTTCATTAGATTTTACGAGTTATTTCCTATTATTTCAATTTTCAGTTTTGTCATCGATTTTGTTTTCTTTCGCAGCTCTACTGCATACTTCTTGTGTACAGAGCTAAACTAATTACCAATAAATTTGTTGCTTACACGAAAAATTTTCTTTGCAGCTAATGTCCATATAGATGCACTTGTTTAATTGTGCACCAGCATTCATTCATTACTACCTTTGGTCAACTGATATGCAATCATACCTACCTTTCCTTCATCGTTTCACCTCCTACCTCATAAAATGAAGAATGATATTGAAGGGGTGATTGCCTATATAAAGTTAAAAAATTTCAGCACCCAAAGAAAAAGATAATAAATTTTGTTAGACCAATCTAAAACTTAAGAAATTCATGAAAACAATAAACTAACTGAATAGTTAATATTTAAAAGCACAATCTTAAAACCAAAGCTACCCAACAAAAGTCCTGAATTTCTCTGTAGTGCAGCTACTACTAGAACTAATAGTCAGAAAGTGCTTTCCTTTTCCTCTCCAACAATGCTAGTACCAAGCAACATTTCAAAGGCTATACAAAGGCAGCAACTGAAAACTCAGCAGAAATACTGACAGATAAATGCACAGACCAACTAATTCATAGAAAGGAGCAGGATCATACCCATGAGTGAAGCTTCAAGCAAGTGGGTTCTCCACAGAACCTGATCCATAGGTGACATAGTACCAAGCTTTGCCCCCTTGTTCTGGATCTTGACAATACTCATGAGACTTGATAAAAGAATCACTGACATGGTACCAGCAATGGTTTTCATAGTAGCAGGGCCTTTACCCATCTTCAACTGATCTAAACTCTTTATGACAAGCTCTCTCAGAGGTCCAATCTTTACCAAAAGAAGGAATGCCATAACGCCCTCAGCAAAAAGAACCAAAAACAATAACTGAATCATCCTAGCTCCCAACTCTCAAAAAGACTTGATTTTTACTCAATGGCTAGCTACTAAGAATGAAAGAAAAATTCAGCAAGAAACTCTTAAGAATCTTTGATTTTGATTGCTGGCTTTTAGTTTTTCCACAAAAACTGAAAAACCCACTTGAGTAAAGCAAGTTTTATCTTTGGAAAATGAGTGTTTAAGGCTAAAGATCTGTACATTTAGCCCTAAGTAGAAAGCAAGAAGCTCTTTTGAAGAAACATATGATTCCTTTTCACAAGCTGAGTTAATTAATCTAAGGGATTAGTGGTGTGCCATGTGTTAATGGGATAGGCTTGCTTTTTGCGAGGGGCAGAAAGTTTATTAACAGAGAGAGTAAAAGGAAAGGGCCCAAAAAATTGGGCAATAGTCCAAAGTAAAACTCAACAACTGGACGTACAAAAAAGCAACTAGGACTTCGGAGGCATGGGAAGAAGACATTTTTTAGGCCTAAGCAGAAATCATGTAAGGCAGTGTTTGGTTGTGGGTAAGATGATTGTCTTGTCTGGTAATTTGCAAGGGAGCTTTTTAGGCACTGTCTTTTTAGTTTTGGCGGTAACACGAATGGAAGATTGGAAGAAACTGTTGCTGTACTCTTCCACACTATGTACAGCGTACATAATGTGTGCGACCTTGCTACATGTACTTTGACAGCTGGGCTCTTCGGTGAAGAACTTGTTGCAAAAGCCTAAAAGCCTGCAGGCTTCCCTATCGCTTGACAAAGCTACCAAAAACAAGAACGGTACATTGGGAGTGAATTACACAAATGCCATTCCAGGAATCCAAGTGGACTGAGGAAAAGAGCAGAAAATCAATAGGGAAAATAGTCCAATGGTTCCCTGCCTACTGGGCCAACTGAGACCATGTGGAGTGGAGGAGCTGCAAGCCTGATACGCAAGCGCGTAGGCCAATTCAAGGAACTGTTGGCTAATGCAATGATGACACATAAAAATTTGCCATGGTTGAAAAAACGAATTATAGGATACATTTGGTTCATTGAAAACCACTTGAAACAGCAACCATGTATGCACTGCCATAGCATTTTTATTGAAGATTAAGCTTGACTTCTCTTGTGGGCAAGACCAATTCTAACAATCATAAAGTGGTATTGAGAAAATGACAGTGTCAGGACTCAGACCCAAACAAATAATAATGAAGGTAACAATACAGAAAGACCAATAATAAAATATGCAAAGCACATGGTAGTGGCACCATCAAAACTATCTCTACTGCTAACCTTTTTGAAGACAATCCTCTTCGCTTCTTTTATTTCCAACACGTAAAGCCTCCTAACACCACATAATTTCACATCATTACATGCAACTCCCTTAATTATCTGTTTATAATTATTAATCACAAGCTTTTCACTAATCCTCTATGATTATTGTTAGTTTACAGTATTGAATAATTGTATAATTTAAAATTTTTTATTTCACATTGAGTTATAATCTTATTTTATTTTAAATCTTTATATTATAAAATTTGAAATAAGTAATGCTTTGAAAGTTTTATAAACGGAACATGTTGCACTTTTACCTTTTATTTTAGATAGAGCTGAATGTTCTTTTGAAATTATTAAAAGAGAATGTACAAGGTCTTACATCGATTTGAAAAATCAAAATAAATTTTATTGTATTTTGATTTTTTAATAATAAAAGAATTATTTCACTTTATAAACATAGATAAAAAGATTGAATCATATAAATTTTTATACTTTTATCTTTGATTAATTTTTCTAAAATTTATTTTTATTATTTTTTTATGACAATCATCGTAACAAATTATGGCATCAGAGCCATAAAGTCTGGCCCCAAAGCTCACACGACAATCTTGATGGGAAGGTCCTTACTGAGGACAAGAGCCATAAAGTCATTCATCATGTAATAAAAATGGAAGCATTAACTTAGTTTTGTCTGAATGTGACGTTGCATCAAATGAAAAACTTTCTTTTCATGGACTTCAACACCAACCCTTAAGAAGGCCATCGTCGGCCATCTTGCTTAAACTTATACGGCAAGTGATTTACTATATCCCTTTTACCGTGCAGCAATCTAATCATCTTTTAAAATAAAAAGAAAAAAAAAGAAAAACCCACTATTTTAAGTATTGTTTTACAAGTTTTATTAACAAATGTTTTAAAAAACACTTCTTAAAATTATTCATATTAAATAAATATATATTTTCAATGCATTAAAAATCATTATATTAACTGTGAATTATTGTACTTGGTAGTACAAAAGTAATAATAATATTCTAACCACCCAAGTGGTCGAACAACTTTGTTTTTTTCTTTTATACAAATGGTTGTACAAAACATTGATTTACATATATATATATGTCCATTATAATGGTATTTTCATATTATAAATTGATGGTAAAACTGAAACAGACAAGACAGAGAAAAGAAAAAGAATTAAAAAATGAGGAATATGCATGGATATAATTAGACGAAGCAAATGTGAGTAGGAGGGATATCGGTTCTTGTCTTCCCAAATAATGTCACAAATACAAGCCATTCAATTCAATTAATTACTTACCAAAATATAATGTTAACTTATGACATCAGCATGCCAAAGTTGACACAATTCCAGAGAACTGTATATATATATATATATATATATATATATATATGGAATGTGAATATTATGCTTGTTTTAATGGCGGTTTTGAATGGTTCTCCATCCCCGCGTATGTAAAAATTCAAACTATTCGAGTAACAAGTTGAGAAGAAAATTCATTGACCTTTATCTCTTCTCCTTTTTTAATTCGCAAATACCAAAAAAAGGTCGCACTATTTCTTCCATTTTATAAACACAAGTGCATCACACCAAGGTACAGGCCTAAAGCAAAGCAAGTGGAATTTTGGTCTGTCAAAGAAGCCGGCCATATATGTATATATAATGTTTATTTTTTCCTAATTAACCTTAATTTGGATGATTTTATTTGAATTTTAACTTGTACGTATATGAGGTGGTAGTACATCCCAACTTAAATTCCAAGGTTAATTATCAAAATTAGAGAGGTTCAGGAACAACATTAAAAGGACACTATATACGAGTAATCCACAATATTAATATAAATTAAAGCATTTTAATTGATTTGGAATCTTTTAACCTCATTTTAACAATTTTTTTTTCCTGTAGTGATATTGGTTTATAAGGAGTTTTTGCAATGCTGAGGTAAAAAGTAAGAGAAAGAGAAAATGATAGTTACTTCTGGTGGAAACCATCATCACAGCATAAAGCAGATGAAGCTTTGCCAACGTCTCCCATGTTGGCAAGGGGTCACATCACCAGCGCTCTGGAAAAATACGTTTGCAACGTAAATGCAAATTAATAAGCCTTTCTTTTTACAGCATTGAATATGGATAATAATGGCTTAATTATTGTGAGCTGCAACAACCTTTGCCTAAAAGCCCCTCTTATTACCCAATGACATTACATATCATCTTCAAAATATCAAATACAGATTTAGGGTCTTTTTGTTCAATGCCTCACTCCAAGGAAACTGAAATTTTACCACTAAAAGGAGTCCCATTTTGATAATTGCTTTCTCTTTTTTTTTTAGTAATTTAACTTCCTATAAATATGTTGCATTGCTTATAAATTAACTTCCCAATTGCAAAGAAATAATGTGTTTTTAAATGTAAATTAATTGGCTCTTAATTTATGTTCTATATCGTTAAAAACCAATGTAAAATATGCATCGCATTTCTGATTATAGCCGTTTGATTAAAAATGAATATTGTTAGTTGTTTTAGATGTAAATTAATCACAACTAACAATTAACTTATTACTAATTGTGTCAAGAAAAACTACATAAAATAATAAGAAGCTTAGCTAAATAGATTGAGTTTTAAGCATTAGTTTTGTATCTGCCATAAATTTAATATTTCTCTTACAAAAAATGTATGGTTGCACAATTGTTGAATATATTCTTTGGTTTAAAGTTCAAAAATTTTAATTTAATTTAATTATCGGAATCTATTAGAGAACCAGTATTACATAATTGTGATATGCAAATATACTCTGCAAATCAAACCCTCCATTTTTTAAAAATAAAACCAACATTGTTACTAAAAATTTTATAATAGTAGAAGTGGACAACACGTGCTCATTTTTTGCATTGAAATGTTCTTAGAGGATAAATAAAACCTTAAACCAATTGGCTAAATTGAATTTTAGTTTGCATGATTGGAAGGGCATCAGAAATGTATGAACAGAAGACGACAAACAGGAAATAATAAAAAAAAATAAAAAAAAAACCTTATTATTAACCGTGGAGAAAGACAAACTCTCAGCTTTTTGACAAGTCAGCCGCCATTAACAGTAACGGCGTTAAATTTATGACTCGTAACAGTTAGCCAGCCGAGCCTTAAGGCTGCTATCCTCAGCACCAAATCTATTCCTTCCAATCCCCAATGATGCGCGTTTCGTAGGATGGGAAGGACGGTACG